CACAAGATGTCGGCACGCTTATGGGTTTCCCGCCTTTGGACACATGACGCGGCAACCCTGAAACGTTGCCCCTGGTAACATCATAGTATAGACGTCAAAACTACGTGACAAAACTTCGTTCACGCCAAACTTAACTGCAAAGCGTAGTATTAGCTGGCAATACACCGACATGGACTACTACAGGGCAAGCCTTCTAGTGCAGATACTGGACTGGGCAAAGCTTTAGAGACCTGTAGCAACAAATGTGCTTGGGTGCCTTGTACACCTGTATGTCTGTGTGGTGTATCACCTGGTGTCTACTTGGGTCAATCATGTAAGCAATATTACTAGGTTTCCAAATTTTTATTTTTTATTGACGTTATTCTAGATCGCCATTTTGGCACAGGAAACCCAGTTTCGATTCACAATGACACACGAAACCCATCCAGAAAAAAAACACCAAAGCATTCTCCACGCAGCCACGCCACATTTGATCGACATGGCTTCCAAGGCTCCGATAGAAGGTATGTAAGTTCACAAGAAAATACTAATATTTATCATTGTTTGTGAAATTCTATTTTGTTTTAATTATAAAATAAGTGATAGCTCTGTTTGCTACTTGAAGTTATACTCTCAGATGACTTATAGTTTTGAAGATTAAAAGCGATTTAACCTGTTCATCCAGTATGTTTTTAATTGCTAATCAACACGTCATTGAATTCTCTGAATGTGATTGTACGTGGAAAAAAACGAGGTATGTACACGTGCCTCCTATTTGCTTTGCTATTTGTGACCATATAAAGTTTTTATCAAATCCTTTGCAGAGTCTTCATGTTGTTTATTAAATCATTACCATAAAACGACAGGGAGAGTATTGTTATGCAAGTTTGGRCAGGTCTTTTGTTTAGCAATCCAATTTATAGAGCGCAGGGATTTTGAATTTTTTATTCCAAAACTCAACCAAGCAGGCAAGTATGATGGCAAGCAAACAAGCCAATGAAGTCGATAGTCACGAAAAGAATCAACTGTATTCTTTTATAACCAACATTTGTCACTTGGTGTACGCGGATCTGTGCGTAAAACCTCTCATTAAGGAGAGAGAAATACAATCCAGATTATGCTTCCAATCGAGTAGCCTGAGACGACAGTACAAGTGTTTAACGTGGTCGACAGAAGAAGAATCGTGGAAGTTGTTTTACGATGAAGCCAAATATTTTGTGGATACGAATGAAGTATGGTATAAAGTATCCGATGTGTGTCGTTTAATGGTCATTGCTCCTGATTCCTCCTGGAGAACGTATATTGATCAACTTTACGAGCTTCCATGGACTACGATGCATCTCTTACATTATCAATACCAAGCAAATTACTTGTTTTACGATGAATCCGGATATGGGGCAGATGCTGACTTGAAAAGTATGAAAACAGGTCCCTGATGTGTGTTATATACTGAACATTTCTCTTTATCGCACCAGGACAGCGTGTCTAAAAGAATTTTGAATAAACTTAATCATGGTATCTATCTCGGATACTAGAGGTTCCTTGTGAGAAACGAAGTGACGAATGTTTTTTATTTTAATTTATTTTGTTTTGAAGTCTTAATAAATGCCTTTTCCCTCAAAGTGTGTATCTATGTTTATTCACAATGATTTACGACAGCAACAAAAATCTCTTAAAAATTGTGTAAAACAGTCTATTGTTAAAGACTCTTAAGATTTTATTTCATATCATCCAAAAATGTAAACTCCATGACAGGGAATCGAACCCTGGTCTCTCACTAGACAGGCGAGTATATTAACCACTATACTACCATGGATTTGATGTTTTATTTTCTATCAAAATTGATAGTTTTATCTCACGAGTCGGGAATGAACCGACTACAGATAACTGTTTTTTACTCTAGTCTGCCTCTCTACCAACTGAGCTACCGTGAGGTCTATGAATTACACTATACTAAAACTTTTGTTAGTCTAGTCAAATTTTAATGCACAATTCGTTAAGGTATCCTTTTATTCATTTCATTATTTACAAAGCTCCTTCACTAGCTAAAGTCTCTTGAACAAATTCCACACCACCATTGGAACGATGTCTTAGTTTCACCAGCATTTCTTTATACCAACATCTAGCTGGCATGGAACTAATTTCAGTYTATTAATGAAAATAAATGTTTTTTTAAAACAATCTTATGTGTTGAGTAAATTCTTGAAAATATCCTTCCCCAATATTCTTTTAACAACAAACACCAAAGTTCAACAGTCAACCAAGCGTACATATCATTTCATGAATTATAATTTGGTTATTTTGTAATGCTTTGTGATGAAGCCTTAAAGAAAGAAGTAATCCGCGTTATGAGTTTAGTCCCCTTGACCGGTAAGTGTGATGTACATCAGACGGGTTTGATGTATCACATCATATAGCTAAACGGACAGAGTGACGTGACGAACTGTAAAGTGAAAGTTGTAATGGATGGTTTGAATAACTTTCTAAAGCGACAAACGACTGATCCCAAACCACAGGGACATCAAGAACTGTTGAAGCGTTACGTCTGTCTATCTATGACTCAAGAAGGTTTGGGAAAGAACGACCCTATGGTGGTGGAACAAATACTTGAGGGTAAATGTGAGTACAGTGAAGAGAATCGAGATACTTTGGGGTTTGTAAAAGCCTATCAGTATCTTCACGAACTGAGTCAATGTGATGATGCTGGGTTGTTAGATAACAATGTCATTACGGAAGTTCAGAGGATCCTCATGTATCATCCCAGTCATTTATGTACAGTTGGAAAGTACAGTTGGAAAGTACAGTGAGAAGGAACGGCTCGCAGAGTTTGAAGGAAAACTYCATATTTATCCCAAACCCTTGAGTACGGAAAAAAACATGCAGATGTTGATTGACCAGTATAACCACCACTGGTTTACTGTAAACCGCCTTCRAACCGTAGACAGTAGAAAAGCTTTAGAAGACTTGGTTAATCTTACTGCGTGGTTGGTCTACACGTTCTTAGAATTACATCCTTTTGGAGATGGGAGTGGAAGAACCATTTTACTTATATGTACTTACGTCATGGAATCCTATGGGTTTCCTTTACAAGTTTCTCCAATGCTGTGTAGCAGGGAAGAAACGAATGGTGTAGGATTCTACGGAATGCTCCACTCACGGAAAATCTAGAGGAACTAGAGCTGCACATGTTTTATTCCTTACGTACATCTTGTAAAGAGTATGATGCCCTCAATAAAAAAAATTGAAATATTGGTTAAATTATTCTATATCGTAGGTCTGAACCATATTCTAATGTATGTATTGTGAGATTCTCGCAGTAACGGGAAACTAGTTTGTCGACTAGTTTGGTCTAGTTTGTCGACCTACATTATTTAGCTCTTATTATTTAATTCAGCCAGATATGAAAAATATGACAAAACCAGGCTTTGATCAGCAGCTTTATTGCACTTGGTCAAATAAAGAGACTGTCCATTCTTTATGGTGTGGGGTATGGTAAATGGAAGGGGAGGGAGGGGGGAATTTTGGAAGCTTTTTTGATGGGCATTGAAACTTTTCTATACTTAGATGAGGGCCCAGGGGGAAAATTATTTTGTTTCATAATCAACAAAAACAAGAATGTCATTTTTAGTTGGTGGAGAGAACTACTTGTATCTTCAAATCTAGAAGATTATCCATAAGCAAATGTCTCTCTATAAAATCTTTGTTTTTTGCTTCTACAAGATTTGACAGTCAAGACATCACAAAGTATCATGACAGTGAAAAAAGGAATATTACAGTAATAACCTTGTAGCATCTATTTTTGGTAATGAAACCATGACCTTGTGTACACCCATTTGTTAACATATTTAAACTTTATGAAACAATTTTGACTAATTTTGGTTCTTTTATAGGTGCACAGTTTTGGAAATCTGCATGGAAAGTCTTGTTCCATCTCTTGACAAAGAACCTAAAAACTTAAATGAATTTCTGAGGCCTGCTATCGATGAATCGAATGCTTTATGGAAAGGAGTGCTATTAAAAAGCTGTATAAGCAGAATACCATTACCATTTAGAGCTGCAATAATGTGTATCTCATCAGATGTACCAGCTACAAGAAAACTTTGTGGCTTGTGGAAGTTTGGAAAGCTAAATATCAAGAGAGTGGACCAGAAGTGGCCTAGAAGCAAGCGAAGATCTGGAGGTCGAGGCGAAATTATCGTTCCTGTGTCCTGTAGAGTAAGTATATATATCTATGTTTATTGTTTTTGAATCGGACGATAATTATTTTCATTTAAAAATTCAGCTTTTGTTGCTTTTTTTTGGCCCAAGGTCGCCAAGACAAACGGTTTGGGTTTTAGATGTATATGTGATTGTTTCAGTTACTCTGATTGAATTGACATATGTTTGTATCTAAATGGATACTAAAAAGTGTTCACTTATCTTTAAAAATAAACGTCCTTTCCAACCAACGGTCTTTCTAGTTTGAATGAGCCGTACGATATGAATATATTTACCACRTCTACCAACGGTCTTTGTAGTTTGAATCAGCTGTACGTACGCTCTGAGTATTTACCGCTGCACTATCCGTGCCAAGCAGCGCGTCAATAGGATTCAAGTCATAAGAATAAGTAGGTAGCCTAACAAGTGTCTGGACTGGACTATAATAATATCGTGTTCCATCCACTTCCACAGTACCAACAAAAGAAGTTACAGCGATTTCAGAATGTAGTGGCAAGCTAAGCATTAAATCAATATACCACCCAAAGAGATGTAGTGGAGCACCTCAAGTGGCTCCCTGTTAAAGAAAGGACTGAATATTGTCTATTACTTATAGCTCATAAATCACTGTGGGACCCATCGCTCCCAAATTACTTGAAACTCGAAAAACACAAAGTCCATTGCAAGCTGCGGTCAAGTTGTAGTACAAATCTAGTCGTCCCTCTTGAAACACGAACATTCCAGGATAACTGCTCAAAGATATTTAATGAATTACCGACTATCACCAAAAATGATGTAGACTTTAAATCTTTTTCACAACAAGTTTACAAAACTTTCATGAACAAAGCCAAACTGAGCTTGCAGATTCCATAGATTCCATTTTTAGATAGATACCAATAGATACCATAGAGATACTGAGAGAATATGTATTATATATGTATGCACTCGCTTATGTCTTAGTATATGTATGTATTCGTGGATGTATATTGTGATATATTAATTATGGTAATAAATGTTGTCTGTTGATGTATGTATATGTTATGTATATGTGTACATACGTATGTATATATGATATACTCTGTTAATATTCTATAATAATTGTGTGTGTGTATGTGTTTTGTATATATAGAATATAGTATATATTCCTTTATTTAATATGTATATATATATATGTATATATGTATATGTAT